AATCCTGTGCCACTGACACTGATCCCACTTTGTTTCCACAGGGAGGAGAGACAGGAATGGATACAACCCAGCAGCCGGTGAGTTCCAATGGTGGATCCAGCTCTAGATCCCCTCTGTGCAGATCCCAGGATGGATCCAGGGGTTAATCCCAGTGTGTGATCCGTGCTGGAATCTCATGGATCTTCTCTTTCTGCAGGAAGGGACACGGGAACCAACAGCTGCAGCACAGGTATGGAGCAGGATCAGGGTGGGATTCCAGAGGGGGATTGGGGCAGGATGGATGGACTGGGATCAGGGAGGGATTCTGGATCAGGGCAGGGGTCCATGCAGAGTGGGGGATCAGGGGGAATTGTAGAGTGGGACTGGGGCTGGATTCTGGAGCAGGATTAGGTGGGATGGATGGAGCAGGATCGGTCCAGGATGGATAGCATGAGATCAGGGAAGGATTCCAGTTCTGAATTGGGTGGGATGGATGGAGCAGGATTGTGGCAGGATTCGGGTAGGATCATGTGGGATCCTGGAGTAGCTCCTGCTCTCCATGGACTCCAGCCAGGTCTACCCTGTGGAATGGGGACAGGGACAGGGTGACACTGTGACCTTCTCTCATCCTGGCAGGAATCACTGCCTGAGTGATCCATGGAGCTGGATCCGGCCCCTTCCCTCTTCCCAGGAAAGCTGAGAGCTGCCACCAGAGCTGATCCTGCTGCTCCCACCCACCCCACAGGTCTTTCTAACGGATTCATTTCCAGTTTTCCATTTCCCAGTGTTTTAAAGGCAAGAACCACAAATATTTACAATGCTTTAGTTCTGGTGTGAAATTATCCTGCTTTGGGCAATAAATCTACTTGTGGCAATAAATCCTGCTTTGGGCAATGTCCTGGATTGTCACGCAAATTGTATTCTATTTACCATCTGTATGGCAGTTGTTTTCTGTTAAGTAGGCAGTTTTCCTTATCTCTTCTACAACTGGGGAGATATCTGTTGATAACAGGCTATTGAAAGTCACTGCCTGACTGATAAGAACTACAGCATCCCAGTGTGAGATGCTCCGCCCAGAGGGGAGAGCCAAACATTCCTACCTGGATATAATCTTGAGGTTCTGGACCACCAGCATGGCTTTCTCCACTGCATCCCCAGAGGAACAGCAGCTGCCTCTCCTTCCACTGGATCTTAGAGGAAGACTGCACCTTTCTACAGGATCCCTGCTCCAACAGAACCACACCTGACGCTCCAGGAGGACTGCAGCCACATTTCCAATGGGACTGCTACCAACAACCTGGCCAACAGGGTGTCAGGTTGTGTTCTGACTCTGTCAGTGTTGTTCTAGTGCACTGCATTGCTTATTTTATCTTTTTATTTTCTTGCCTAGTAAAGAACTGTTATTTCCTGCTCCCATATTTTTGCCTGAGGGTCTCTTAATTCCAAATTTATAGCAATTTGGAGGGGTGGGGAGGGTTTACATTCTCCGTTTCAGGGGAGGCTGCTGCCTTCCTTAGCAGACTCCTGTCTTTCCCAAACCAAGACAGATTTTGGCGCCCAACGTGAAGCTCGAGGGCATAGAAACAAAAAGGGGATAACAGTTCTTGAGTAATCTAATTTTGTGTGCTGATATAGAAACCTTGTTAGGTGTCACCATGTGGTCCAGCTTGCCCTGGTTTGGGGGGCATGTGACCATGGCTGTATTTGTCCCATTTGCACGCCCTCATCTAAACATGGGTCCTATAACCAAGGCTGTTGTCTGGTTTGCTTTACAGGTTAATAAGGTGAGGAATTCATGGATTTTTAACTTCCACTGGAAGGCAAGCACATGGATTCAGAGCTATCACACCCTTACTGTATGGGCCCCTCAATGCCTTGCCCCATGACTCAGAGAAAACTCCCTCCAGGAGCCATTTCTGTTTGATGGGCAATCAAGGACCAATCATGACTCAGAACAGTATCAGCTCATTGAGAGATGCTCCACCCAGGGGGGAGGAGCTCAGCATCCTCACCTGGATATCATCTGGGTTTTGGGACAGAACAGGCAGCCCTTACCCACTGGTTTCCAGAGGACAAGAGCTGCCAGATCTTTGCTACGGAATCACCACTTCAACAAGACCGTTTCATCTGGACTGCCACCACCACCCTAACTAGCAGGGTGTCCGGTTTTATTCTGACTCTGTCAGTGGTTTCATTTTGTACTATTGCATGTATTTTTGGGTTTTTTCCCTTTTCCTAATAAATTGTATTTCTGACTTGGAGTCTCTCACTGGTTTTGCTTTCTAACCAGAACATAATTTTGGCACCCAAAGTGGAGCAGCAAGGTTTTTTCTCAAGAACCTGGTTCCACTTGGTGGGTAATGCAGAAGGATGGGGAAACCTCTTGTATACTACCAGGAGACCTATATTTAAGTGAGAACTGTGTATAAAGTTTCATTTTACATTATAGATATGTATAACTGTAACAGAGTATTGTTTTGGGTAGAGATGGCAATAGGATAAGGGGTGGATTATGTCCTAGGTTAAAACATAAAGATTGATTCTATTCCCATCCTCAAGAGCTGTTCAGACCAGCAGAGGCATTGTTTTTTCCTTATCTCCTGTTAATGGGCCCCTCAATCCCTTGCCCCATGACTCAGAGGTAACTCCCTCCAGGAGCCATTTCTGTTTGATGGGCAATCAAGGACCAATCATGACTCAGAACGGTATCAACCCATTGGGAGATGCTCCACCCAGGGGGGAGGAGCTCAGCATCCCCACCTGGATATCATCTGGGCTTTGGGACAGAACAGGCAGCCCTTACCCACTGGTTTCCAGAGGACAAGAGCTGCCAGATCTTTTCTACAGTATCACCACTTCAACAAGACCATTTCATCTGAACTGTTACCACTGCCCTAACCAGCAGGGTGTCAGGATATATTCTGACTCTGTCAGCAGTTTTATTTTTTATTATTGCATGTCTTTTGGGGTTTTTTTCCCTTTTCCTAATAAATTGTATTTCTGACTTGGAGTCTCTCACTGCTTTTGCTTTCAAACCAGAACATAATGTTGGTGCCCAAGGTAGGGCACCAATGTTTTTGCTCAAGGACCTGGTTACTCTGGGTGGGTAATGCAGAAGGACGGGGAAACCCCTTGTGTACCACAAAGAGACCTAATTTTAAGTGAGATCTGTGTGTAAGGTTTCATTCTGTATTTTATATATATCAATATATCTATACATCTATATATCTTTTATATACATTATTATGTGCATTATACATTTATATCTCTTTTTCTTTTGTGTTTCATGTATTTTGGGGTTTTTTCCCTTTTTGTAAAAACTCTTATTTCTGACTTGGAGTCTCTCACTGGTTTTGCTTTCAAACCAGAACAACTGGCCGCTGGCGATGGTTGTTTGGCTTGATTGACCAATTGGATCCGCGTGTGTGTTGTGACTGTCAGGCAAGGGCCATGGGTTGTTCTTAGTAGTAAAGGATGGTATAACAAAGGGATTGGACAGCCTGCTGCAATCATGGAGTCAATGCTCATTATTCCCCGCTGGGGACTGCTGCTACAACAGGGACTGATGATTTTTCTTTCAGCACTGGACAGTCCTTTTTCCAATGCCCCCATTTCTTACAGGATGCACTCTGAGCCTTCTCCGGAGGGGAAGCTTTCTTGGGTGACTTTTCCTGAGTTGCCTTCTTGCTGCGCTGGGATTAACTCTTTCAGTTGGGCCCCTGTCTCAAAACACCTTCCAGGCAACCTCCAGCAGTTTATCCATGTCTTCAACTCCCTTTATCTTTCCTTATGTCTTTTGAAGCCTGACCCACACAAAACAAAACCAGGTGTGCTTTACCATCAACTGATTCAGGATCTAGATCAGTATATTTGATGGCAGATCTCTTCACCTGTTCAAAAATCAGTGGGTGATTCATCATAATTTTGCCTCACTGGGTAAAACTTTGACTAATTTACAGCTTTAGAGACCCCATGTTTTAACCCACATTCCATGAGACTTTGATATCATTTTAATTTTGCCACCTGCTTGGGCGTATTTGCATCCCACCCAGGGTTTCCAAGGGGAAATATCTCAGTGACAGCACCTTGAAGCTGCTCCCTGGCTGTGCTCTCCTCAAGGAACATTGAGGTGGATTTATTGACCACTCGTCCCTCAGTGGGGTCTGTGGTATTTGCTGGGTCCCCAGGATGAAGCAGGAACTGAGAATCTGACTCCATGTTCTTAGAAGGTTAATTTATTATTTTATGCTATTATTTTATATTACAGAATGCTATACTAAAACTCTACTAAAGAATAGAGAAAGGATACAGACAGAAGGCTTAACAAGAATGAATAACAAAAACTTGTGACTCCTTCCAGAGTCCCGACAGAGTTGGATGGTGATTGGTCATTAAGTAAAAACAATTCACATGTTGCATAAACAATCTCCAACCACATCCCAAAGCAGCAAAGCACAGGAGAAGCAAATCAGATAATTATTTTCTTTTTTTCTCTGAGGCTTCTCGGCTTCCCAGGAGAAGAATCCTGGGCAAAGAGGATTTTTTCAGAAAATATGGCAGTGACAATGGTCAAGTGATGTGTCTCACACAGACTTCAGATCAGCCCGGTGTGATTCATACAGAGGGCATTTATATATTTATTCATTCATTCATTTATTTATTCAATTATTCATTTATTTATTTAATTATTAATAGGCTGTATGGTACACACATGAACTAAGAGATTATATTGCACCAACCAGCAGCTACAATGAATCATCGATAATCGATATCGGTATCAAACACTGTATCAAATTGCTGGTGATCAATAACAATGTGTAAAAGGCAATACAAGAGTGCAAAAGGCAATTATTAAATTGCCATTTATGACCCGGCTGTGCTGCAGGCACAGTGGAAAGCTGGAAGCTGCTGAGGGGACCCATTCACCCCTGTCCCCTGTCCCTGACTGTCCCCCGAGTGTCCCTGAGTGTCCCCAGAGTGTCCCCAGTGATGTCACCCCAGGAATTCCCATCAGGATTTGGGACAGTATCATTGAAAATTCCTAGAAAATTCCTCTGCTCCCCAAATCTGTCTCAAATACTGCACAGGGAGGGCACAGGTGACAGCAGTGATGTCCCTGATGATGTCAGTGCTCCCATGTGAAACTTTCCTGCAGCAGCCTCGGGATGTCCTCGATGGCTTTTTGGCACTGCTTGGCCACTGTGCAGCTGCCAGGGCCACCGGGGCCACCACAACCATCATAGGGACTCAAGAGGATATTGTCGATGACCCCAAGTGTCCTCAGCAGGTGATCCTTGGCCAGGCGGGTGCTGGCCTCCCACAGCCACTCAAACTTGGCCACTTTGGCTACCAAGGCCTGGAGGACATCAGGGGACACCTCGTTTGTCCCCTTCAGGATGGCCTCGATGTCCCTGAGCCGCCACTCCATGTTCCAGTAGAACAAGGTGGCTCTGTCACAGGTGGCCACCAAGCGCTGCAGCAGCCCCAGGGCCACCACTGCCCAACGTCCCCTCCTGGTGGCTACCATAGCCTCTCCCATTCCCTCATTGGTGGCTGCCGCCACCTGGGCATTGTATGTGGCCATTTCCCTGGCCACTTCCTCCTTGTCCAGGGCCACCATCAGCTGCTGGTTCGCGATTACCTTCCTGTGGTTGTCACGGAGCTTGGTGGCCTCCCTGGACAGCCAGTCCCAGCGGTCCATGAGCCTGGCCACCAACTCCCGCCAGGCCTTGGCTGTGGCTCTCCCATTGGCCCAGGTGGTCCCAGGGGTGGCCCCGAGGGTGGCCAGGGCCCGGCCCAGGGAGGCGACACCAGGGTGGCCCAGGGAGGTGGCATTGCTGTGGTTCAGGATTGCACGAAGGCTCCAGGTGAAGTTCTTCAGGTCCTCATGTAAGGAGTTTGGGGACTTGTCGCTGTGTGGCCCAGTCATGGTGGCCAGCAACTCGCCCAGGGTGGCCACCACGGCCACCAGCACCTGAAGCTGTGGAGGGGACACCTGTGGAGGAGACAGGGGAGGTGTCAGGGACCTGGTGGCACTTTTGGCCTCCTGCGGTGGCCTCGGTGCCCTCAAGTAGTCCCCTCTGCCCTTCCGTCCCTTTGTCAGCGTCTTGTCCCCACTGCCACCTCCCGCCACCCCCCGTGTCCCCTCCAGTGTCCCCTCTGTTCCCCTCTCCCCACCATCGCACCTCTTGGGGCTCCATGGTCACTGGGGATACATTGGGGACACTCTGGGGATGCTCTGGGGGTCGAAGGAGCCTTGGGATGTCCTCGATGGCTCTTTGACACCGCTCAGCCACCTCACAGGCACTGGGTCTGGCGCAATCGGTGAAATAGACCTTGATGATGTTGTCAACTGCCCCCAGCAGGTGATCTTTGGCCACCCACGCACCAGGCGTTGGCCTCCCACAGCCGCTCGGCCTGGGCCACCTTGGCCACCAAGCCCTTGAGGACATTGAGAGATGCCTCATTTATCCCCTTCAAGGCGGCCTTGGTGTCCCTGAGCAGGCGCAGCAGCTCCCGGGGGAACGCGGTGGCTTTGTCACACGCGGCCACCAAGCGCTCCAGCAGCCCCAGGGCCGCCTCCAGCCGCTGTCTCTCCATGGTGGCCCTTGTTGCCTCACTGGCAGCCACCCTGGCCTCTCTCCTCATCTGGGCTCCATGCCTGGCCACCACCTCGGCCCCCTCCTCCCTGCCCAGGGCCTGACCCAGCTCCACCATGTTTTCCTGAGCTGTCCCATAACGTGCAGCCTTCCCCTGCAGCTCCCTGGCCTGGGTGGCGGCGGTGGCCACCCTGTCGGCCGCCTTGGTGGCCAAATCCCTGCAGGCCTTGCGGAGCTTGGTGGCTGCCCTGGCCAGCCGGACCCAGCTGTTCACAAGCGCAGACACCGACCACAGCCACTCACCAACCGCCAATCCCACAGGTAACAAGGTGGTCCCTGGGATGCTCTTGTAGGCGGCCAGGGTCTGCCTCAGGGCGTTGAAAGGGCTATCATCGTCGGAGGTGACATCTTGGGGCCACCAGGCGTTATCAATGCGGTGCAGGGTGACCCAGAGCTCCCTGGTGAAGAACTCCAGGTCCCAGTACAGGGACCATGGGGACCAGGGCTGCATCATCTCGTCCTGACTGCTCAGCGTGCCCAGCAGCTCACCCAGGGTGGCCACCACGGTGACCTGTGGCTGCAGCAGGGCCGGGGACAGCTGGGGAGGGAAAAAGGAAGGTGTCAGGGACCTGGTGGCACTTACGGCCTCCTGGGGTGGCCCCCTGCCCCCGAAGGGCCCTTTTTACCCCTCCCTGGAGGGCTCTGCTGACCGTCTGTCCCTCCCTTGTTACCGCTGCCACCCCTGCCACGTCCCTGGTAGCGCCTGGCACCCTCCTGCCCTCACTGCTGTCCCCTCTGCCACCTCCCCACCCGCCCCGGTATCCTCTCCCTCTTTCAGCACCCCACGTTTTCCCCCCTCCCGTCGCACCTCTTGGGGCTCCATGCTCACTGGGGACACCTTGGGGACGCTCCGCTGCCGAAGGAGCCCCGGCACCAGCTCCGGTCCCGGCCCAGAACAGGCCCCGGGGCCTGCGCCGGGAAAAGGCGGAGCCCCCTCAGGAGGGGCAGGAAAAGGGGTTTGGCGAGGTGACGTCACCGCCCGCCCTTTCCAGTACCGCCCCTATCCATGGAAAGCGCCTGGATTTGGCCGTTTTGGTTGAATCCCAGGGGATTTAGGCTCAGTAGAAGGGGATTTAGGCTCCATCCCCAGGGGATTTAGGTTCCATCCCACCATTTCTAGTCGGATTAATTCCGCCGTTTCCGGCTGGATTTACGAGGGAACGTGGAGCGCTCTGAGGAGCCCACAGAGTTGCCCTCAACAAACAGGGCCGCGCTGCTTCCCTCGCGAGACCTCTGCCGAGAAGCCCCAAAGGCGGCGCGGACCAATCAGAAGCCGCAACGGCCAGAAGTACTGGCAGAAGTTCCCATTGCTTCGGCAGCTGCTTCCGGCGAATCCGCGGTGCATTGTGGGCATTGTGGTCCCGGTGGGGCCCAGCGGCGGCGGAGCGGGGCTGAGGCCGCGGGGCGGGGAGGGGGCGAGGCGGGAATTTGGGGGCGCCGAGGGAGCCCCGGGACCCCCCCGGCAGCGCGGGATGGGCGACAGCGACCGCGGTCAGCACCGGGAGCGGGGAAAGGGGGAGGGGCGTTGAGGGGGGGTTTGGAGGGGTTATGAAAGGATCGGGAGGGACTGAGGGAGAACTGGGGGTCCTGAGGGGATGTGGGGTGTTCTGAGGGCGTTTGGGGAGATCGAGAGGGAGAACTGGGGGTCGTGAGGAGATCTGGGGGCTCCTGAGGGGATTGGAGGGGTTGTGAGGGGATGTGAGGGGGTAAGAGGGAGAACTGGGGATCCTGAGGGTATTTGGGGGGTCCTGAGGGGTTTGGGGGGATTGTGAGGGGATGTGAGGGGGCTGAGGGGTTGTGAGGGGGTTTGGGACATGGTGAGGGGATGTGGAGGGTCCTGGGGGAGAATTAGGAATCCTGAGGGGTTTTGTGGGGTTCTCAGGAGATCTGGGGGGGGCTTGAGGGGATATAGAGAACTCATGAGGAAATCTGGGGGGATTCTGAGGAGATTTTCGAGGGTCCTAAGGAAGATATGGGAGCTCTGTGGGGGACATGGGGTACTGAGAGTAGTTTGGAGGTTGTGAGGGCATTTGGGGGCATTCTGAGTGGGTTTGGGAGGATTTTGGGAGTTTCCGATTAGATTTGGGGCATCCTGAGGGAATTTTGGAGATCCCCGAGTGGATTTTGTGGGTCCCTGACTGGATTAGGGGTGATTTGGGGTTATTTTGGGGTCCCTTAATGGATTTTGCGGCATTTGGGGAATTCTGGGATCCCTGGCTGAATTTTGGGGTATTTTCAGATAATTTTGGGGTCCCTGACTGGATTCTGGGAGGATTTGGGGTAATTTAGGAGTCCCTGAGGGGACTTTGGGGTATTTTCAGGTGTTTTTGGGGTAAGTTTTGCTATCTGACCAGATTTTGGGGTCCTTGTCCTGATTTTGGGATATTTTGGCATACCTGACTGGATTTTGGGGTATTTTCAGGTCATTTTGGGGTTCCTCACCAGATTTTGGCCATTTTGGGGTAATTTCATGGTCCCTGACCAGAGCTTGGGGATTTTTTTGGGTTATTTTGGAGTAATTTTGTGATCTCTCACTAGAGTTTGGGGTTTTTTTGGGGTATTTTTGTAGGAAAACGGGTAGGATGGTCGGGATGGAGAGAGACAAGAGATCTCTGAAGCCAGGCCATGGAACTTGGGGTTTATTGCAAAGGGCCTGTGTGCAGGGCCCTGCTTGGAGCTGCCAGGCACAGCTGGAGCAGGCCCGAGAGAGGGAGAAGAGTGGTGTTATATTTGCCCAATTATGCCATCATCAAAAAAACCAAACACTAATAAAGGTGGCAGCAATTTTCATTGAATAGCTTAGAATATATAAAATCGGATACACTTGAAATATTGACAATGTAATTTGGTTGAAATAAGGGATAATTTGGTTCCAATAATAGCGCATTAGCAAAAAAAACCAAACAGCGAGGGGTACGGAGTGCAGGGCCCTTGGACCCCTGCCACCTCACATGCGAGCTTGCCAAGCGAAAATTCCCCCTTTTGTGCCATGTGTCAATGCCATCTCCTCCCATTTTCGAATCATCACACTTCTACCTCCGCCCTCATCACCACCTTTACCGCGCATGCTCCACCACTCGGTTTGGTGGTCACACCCGTCTTTGGGGGTCGTCACTGATGAAGGCCTCTCCTCTTCCTCGATGTCCTTTAATTCACCCTTGGGTTACACATGCACACCAAGCTAGTATAATGTAAGCCAAAACGAACATAATATTATATTTAAGCATCAAAGCAATAAATCTCTTATAACTAGCATTTTCCTGGGACCCCACCAGATTTTCCTTTCTTTCTGTTAATTTTTAGTAACTGTTATCTCTTGCTGTTTCCTGCCTTGAACATCTGCAGGAAAGAGGGGGGGGAATGGAACCCCTCCTCTCCCTTTCTTTCTTGGCATTACACCTTTTAAGTGTTTTATTATTTCCAAATGTTAATTACTGTATCAATATTGATTACTGTTTCAATTTTGTCAGCACGAATCATACCGATTTACCATACTTCTCATTATCCTACTATGAGTTTTTGGAGTTTTCTGCCAGAAATCTCTCCCCTCCCCCACTCATACACAGGGCTTTGGGGCGGTTTTCTCTTTTTGGGGAAAATCAAAGCGATGCACTGATGCTCCGAGTTAGGGGTAGGAGAAGTGAGGCTCCAGGGCTTCCCGCTGAGCCGGAGCCACCGGAGCCGCAGTGCCGGGAAAGCCGTGGCGGGAGGTGCGGAGAAGTTTGTTTGTGTTTTCAGCTCAATCCCCTCGGGACCGGGCCCGTTCCAGGGCTGTTCCTCAGCTCCGGCTCTGCCCTCACGTAGCCCGGGGGACCCTGAGAGCGCGGGACGGGGCTGTGCCGTGTGCAGAGCCCGCCCCTGGCAGGGATTGGGCGATGGTGCCGTCAGTCGTGGCTGTGGCGCGCTGATTGGTGGGAGCGGGGCGGGGCAGGGTCTCGGTGGCGGGCTAAGGGCGGCCGTGGCTGGGCAGTGGCGCCATTGTCGGAGCGTGTGTGCGGTCCCGCGAGCGGCGGCAGCGGCCGGAGCGCGGTGAGGCGGCGGCGGAGCTCGGAGGCGGCCGCAGCGCAGGTGGGAGCCGCGCTGGGTTGTGCGGGGGCTCGGGGCTGGCTGCGGGCCTCGGGGGCGGCAGGGGGTTCGGGCAGGTTCGTTGTGCCGTGTCCGGCCCGTGTTGCCGCTGGCGTGAGGGCGCTGCGGGAGCGGCTGCCCGCGGTCTCCTCGGGCCGCTGCCTCGGCAGGAGCCGCTGGCGGAGCAGCGCTGGCTCGGCCCGGTTGCTGTGGCTGGGACAGAGGGGGCTGCCCCGTGCCCGGGGCTGTGCGGGGAAATTCCCGTGGCCGGAGGTTTGTGTGCGCAGAGGAGACAGAGGAGTCCTGTAAAAGTGACTTTATTGCTGAGCAGAGGGAGAGGCCGTGGGGCATTTGCCGTGCGCTCTCTGCCATTGTTGTACTTCGCAGCCTCCTTTTTATCCTCATTTTCCCGGCCTCATCTCCCTCCCTTTGCCCACTGGCTGAGGTGCTTGGAAGTTTCAGACCTCCCGATACGCCAACTGCATGTCCTCGTTAGTGTGCACCCCCACTTTCGTATAACCGCCGGTATTCACGGCTCTGTTAAGTCTTTGTTCTTCTGGAAGTTCAGGAATTTAGTGGGACTTTCTGTGAGCAGCAGTCCATGTTAATTAGTAACATTTATTGAAGCTGGTGGTTTCGCCCTTTGCTTCCTTATCTACAAATCCCTGACCCCTCCCTCAGCTGCTGAATGAGCTGCACTCTCAAGTGCGGAGCATGGTAAAAAGATAAGAGTTGCCGTAGCACATCCAAAGAGAAACAGCATTCGTTTAACCCATGGTCTGCCAGGGAACCACAAAACCGTGTCCCATTTCCATCCTTTCCACGTTTGGGCTGGAACATGAGGTGCTTTCTTACTTCCTTTGTTATCTGTTTCACCACTTTTTCTGTGTCATCTCTTTGCCAACAGCAGTTTGAGTCATTTAATTTTCCACAAACTCCGCTTTTTTCTGCTAAAACGTAATATGATCCCATCCCATGGTTAAATGGTGTGTTCCTCATTTCATTGGATTGGTCAGCAGGAAGGTCAGGAGCAGGAGCTGTCCAGTTGGTTATTATTGCGAGGGCAGCTTGTAATCTAATGATGCTATTGAAATGACAAATGGGTTCTGTGGCTCCTGATATGAATTGGTTCGGGTTCCCAGGGGCTGGTCCATGGTGTTGTAGGATTTGTTCTGCTGGCCGTTCATATTTTCCCCATTTTTGGCCGCTCTCTCCAGCCAGGGCTGCATCAATTGACTGCTTTTCTCTAACTAAATCATCAAATCCTTGCATTCCCAACTGATTTCCCTAAATATTTGGTAGCAAAAAATCCCCAGTGCCCTAATATACCCTATATAACACAGAGAGTGACAGCACATGTTGGAGTGGGTAGAGGGATGATTCCCCCCACTTATTTATAGTGAAGTTTTCCCAACATTCTCCATGTGCTGTTTCCCTCTGCAGCTTCACCCGTTTCTGTTGCAGGGTCAGATATCCTCCCCCTGGGCTCTACCTTGAGCTGTGCAAATTCCATCAGTGCCAGCAGGCAGAGCTTGGTGTGAGGGGCAGAGGAATCAGCCCAATTCCTGCCCCAGGCAAGAGACCCAGGTGCATTGTCCACATTTTGCCCAGCAGTGTTCGTTTGCATTTCTAAAGCTCCTCTGCAGGCTGCCTGGAATGAAGCTTCTCTTTCTGCTGCTGGGCAATGTTGATGTTTTGTTGTTGGTCATTATCTCTGTGGGTATCTTTTGTGCTGTTCCCAGTCTGTTCAAAAGTTAAGCTCATCTCCATTGAGTGGTGTCACACCCCTTAAATAAAACCTTTAAAATTCCTTTCCCCAAGGCAAAGACAAACCAAGCCTGAGCAGAGAAAGA